AAAAGGCCTCCCGACCTCCTAAGAGGAAGGAGGCCACCCCACAGCCGACACCGGACGTCTCCAACCCAACGGAGTTTCCGGACATGCCGAAACAGAAGAAGAACCAAAGGAAGAATGGTTCTAAGAAGGCAGCAAAGCCCTCGTCAAGAGATGATGATCTCTTTGATGAGGCAGATATGACTCTGCTCGTGACTGCTGTGGTGACAGCAGTGGCGACAGCCCTAGGGAGGACAAGGGAAGAGGCGGAGAAGGCAGTGACGGTCGCCATGACGGCAATGACCAAGACTGTCGCGATCCTGAAAGGCAGAAAGCAGGCCCAAGCACAACCAGCGTCTGCCTCTGTTCAGGACGAGACTCCCCTCCCAGCTCCAACCCAGGCAAGCCCATCGCAGGCAGAGCCACAACAGGCCTAGTCTGCACAGCCAGAGCCAGAACGTGCTGAGCCTGCCCCGGCAAGGCCAGCCAAAAGAAATGCAGACAGGCCTGCGAAAAAAGCCAAAGCCTCCAAAGTCAAAGCTACCAAAGGCTCTCCACCCCCAGTGGACCCACAGTTAACCTGACTTCAGACGAAGAACCCTCAGCCGAAGAGGACTTCGCGATGTTGGGGTCCGATTGTGACGGGGTCTCAGATGTAACTATCGACTAGTAACATCATTGCACACAATCTAAGCATCCTACAGTGGAACATAAATGGCTTTTCCGGAAGGAATGCCATGCTCCAAGCAGTAGTGCGATCAAGGAGCATCGACGTTGTCATGCTCCAGGAGACAGGAACGGTGGACACTGTTCGCTTCGCAGGGTATCACGCGTTCACGCTGCCACAAACGCCTGGCAAAAGAGGCCTGATCACCCTTGTCAAAGCAACAATCCCCTGCTCCGCAATAGCCGATGCACCGCACTGTGGAGAAGAGACAGAATCTCTCGCCGTAGAGATCCACCTGGCCGGGGGCCCCCTCAAACTGTACAACGTGAACAACCGGCCAGGCTGTAGTAGCTTAGGTATTAGCCAGGTCTGTGCGTCTGCTGCACAAGACCGAGTGATCATTGGGGGAGACTTCAATGCACATCATCCCATCCTAGCTCCCTGTCGGGGACCGGATGCGGCTGGGCGGCACATAGCCAGCGTGCTTGAGATGTTCCCTGAGATCGCTCTCCTCAACACCAGAGAGCCAACGCATGTCGGCGGTGGGGTACTAGACCTCACCCTGGTCACTGCGACTCTGGTGGACAGGATTAGCTGGTGTGTTGATGAGACTGTCACAAGCGACCATTACGGTACGGTAACCACCCTCATGGACGCAGGCCCAACCGAAATCCCACGACCGAATCCAAGTCCAAGATGGAAAACAGACAAGGTCAACTGGCAGGCGTTTCAGAACGCCTTGGCTCACTGTCTGAGAGGCAACGAATCCACACAAGCCGAAAACGTGGATGTGCTGGAAGCCAGACTGGTACAAGCCATAAACCAAGCAGCCTCACTGACCATACCCAGAACTCGGCCCGAGTCCAGGCGTCACAAGGACGCCTGGTACTTTAACAACGAGATCAGGGAGGTCAACCACAGGGTGAACATGTGCCGAAAACTGTTCCAAAGGCAAAGAACCCCCGACAACCTCGCACTGCTAAGGGAGGCTGTCAGGGATGCCAAGGAAACTGCCAACAGAGTCAGGCAGGAGACATGGTTGGAATGGTGTGAGTCCTTCAGCCACCAAACCACCATCTCAGAGCTGTGGCAACGGGTCAGGCGAGCTACCAGCCGCTCAGCCCCGAGACGAACGCACTACGACCCTCAAGCAGCGGCAAACATACTGGTGCACCAGTTCTCTGAGAGAACAAGCAGCAACAGTCTACCAGCTGAGCTGAGGGCCAAACAAGAAAGCTTGAAAGCAGACAGATTTGCTCAGATCAGAGAAAGGGCAGCCGAAGCCGATAACTCAGACGTTATCTTTTCTCTGAGGGAACTCCGAAAAGCATATAAACTCAGTTCAAATACAGCCCAGGGCTCTAATGGGATCCCGTATCCCATTATCTCCCGCCTAGGACGAGAAGGTGAACTTGCACTCTTGCAGCTCATCAACAAGTCCTGGGAATCTTCCTCTGTACCGCAGAGCTGGAAGAGGGCTACCATAGTTCCCATCCCAAAAGCCAAGGAACCGGGGAATTACCGCCCCATCTCTCTCCTCAGCTGTCTGGCCAAGACGGCCGAGAGGATGGTACTGAACCGGCTCCTGTGGAAAATGGACCCCCGCACGAACACCTGCACGGGTTCACCAGGGGTATGAGCACTGCACACAGCATAGCCAGGGTTACCTATCGCAGCACTTGCCACTCGAAAATGGGACACCACAGGGTGGGGTTCTCAGTCCAACCCTGTTTAACGTACTTATGTCCTGTATCCTCAACATGAACCTCCCGACGGGGTGCAAGATCGTCTCATATGCAGACGATCTTGCCATCACCGCCATTGGAACACAATGTCTAAGTAAAGCTCAGCATTGTCTGGACCTTGTGTCCGAGGAGTGTTGCAGGACGGGACTTAAGATCTCAGCAGCCAAATCTAAGGCCATGGCTCTGGGAAAGCGAGTTCAAGGCACAAGTCTGAGGATCCAGGGAGTAGACTTGGAATGGGTCCCGGTGTTCCAATACCTTGGGGTATGGGTAGACCGGACCCTCTCCTTCCGGCAGGAGACCAAGTACCTGGTCGACCGATGCAAAGCAAGACTGAACGTCATGAGAGCAATGACTGGGAGAGGCATAGGAGCCAGACACAAAGTATTAAGAGCCTTCTAGGTACATGCTGTCACGCCTATTGTGGATTACGCCTCAGTCGCCCTAATTGGCGGAAAGAAAAAATACAAAGAAAAATTGGAAACAGTCCAAAACGAAGCTGCCAGAATCATTCTGAGTGCCCCGAGGTGGTCAAAGGTTCCCAACCTCCTGATGGAGACCAACCTTTTCCCCTCCAGGCTCCCAGGAAAACGAGCCTAAGAGAAAAATTAGTCAGACATCTGGAACAAGACAACGAGCTCTTTGCCAACAGCACGTGGCTGTCCCACACAGCCAGGGTGTTGATAAGCTTTGAGCTCAAAGAGCAGCTCCTGACCAAGGGCATGGACTCCCCCCACCCTGACTTTGTCGAAGCCCCGCCGTGGGCACAAAATTCGATAGAGTTCTCGGTCATGAGATTAGCGCTCAAAAAGACCGAATATCCCACGCCTGGTCTAAAGGCAGAGACCTACAGGGTCATATCAGCCATCAACCCCCCGGGTAGTAGAACTTACTACACGGATGGATCGGTCGATCCAGCCAACCACACTGCAGGCTCCGGCTTCGCAGCAAGGGATGCCATGCGCTCCATGAGGGTATCAGACAACGCCTCCTCGCTACAGGCAGAGGCCGTTGCGATCATGGGAGCCCTAGCCCACGCGTCCCCAATGGGAGGACACGTAGTCATACACACTGACTCTAGGGCAGCCATTGACCCTCTCAAGCTCAGCTCACCCAAAGACAATATCTACCTCCTGACCACAATACTGACAATAGCCCAAAGAATACTGGCTCAGGGTAGAAGAATCATTCTCAACTGGGTCCCTAGCCATATTGGCATCAGAGGGAACGAACTTGCTGACAGACTAGCAGTCTCTGGCAGGGGTATGCCCCTAGTCCCATGATCATTGCACCTAGCCGTAATTTACTTCGGATGAAGAGTACTGGTGTTGCCAACTTCTTCCTCCTGCAGCTTCACAGAGAGGCAACGAGATCCTCCCCCTCGGCCAGATGGTATTCAGAAGCAACGGGCTATGAACCTCTGGCACTCTCTGAGTTGAAAAACAGACAAACCGAAGTCATTCTCCACAGAATGCGCCTAGGTTACCACTGTAAATGGCAGATAATTGAGACCATTGTCCATGAAGAGAGGTGTTGCATGCATTGCGGCGAGCCGAACGCCACACTTACACATTACTTAGAGAATTGTGTACACACACAATTCCTGAGACAGGGACCCCCGACAACAGCCGCCGTGCTGGTAAAGAGACTTTGCGATGCTGGCAATCCCACCGCCACGGTAAGCACCGAGTGCCATAGATCGAAATGAGTCAGCCCTAAAAAGCTGACACAGGCCGGGCCATAGCCGAAGGCCCGGGCGAAGCTAGAACTTCGCAAATCACAATCGATGGTCGATTGACCAATCAGCAGTCAGCCAGCTAGACGTAACAACCAATGGAAAGCTATGGTTGCCTTATTGCCACGCCTCCAACGGTCACCAACTCCATGGAAGGCCCAGCGACTGGCTATTTCCTTTGTGCATAGGAGCTGGACGTGACCGGGCTCCCCAAATAGGCATAGCCCGGGCGAGGCTCTGCCTCGCGAATCTTAAAAAAAAAAAAAAAAAGCTGGACGTGAGTAGCATGTACGTGAACACTGTAGCAATATTACTACAGTGTTACAATAATACGGTCAAGATAACAGTATCGAATGGAAAGTCCTTTAGACAATAATCACTCTGGCTAAGTCTAGGATAGGTAATATGCCTCATTAAAGAGCACTTTTTATGAGCTTTACTAGCAAACAAGCAGTTACCTACTGTTATTCCTAAAACCTACTTATGCACATATATAAATATTTGTGCATACTACTTGTTCACACATGCCTAAACATCATAATGAATATCATATTTCAGAGTCGATATGATACAATTCATTAAAAAATTGTAAAGAATACTAAAATTACGATCAGTCATTCTAAATAAATGCACAGTAACAGTAAAAAATAGTATATTCAAATATTTGACTATTGTATATCAAACACTTTGTTAGCTTCATTGACATTATTTTGTGTTTATTTAATTTTGGAAGCATTCAAACTGAGATATACAATAGAAGATGCTTGAAATCGGTGTTACTGCCTGTCACAGGAATAATTTCCATTGGGAATTTTGTAGTATTGTTTGCTCACCTCAATACTATATACACAAAAGTAGGATAGTCAAATACTCTGCATTACTTTCGTTTGCAATTCTTTATTGTATGTTTTTCACTGAATTTTTTAATTTCAGATTTTGAATATTGTGCACTGTGATATATCACTATGTGTGAAACACATCAAATGAAGAAGAAACGACACTCAAATATATAAACCAGAGCCCATTTAATGTGTATCGCTTGTTATGGCATCTTGTGGCGTATAGCAATGTGAATGGATTACTCTCCTAATTTACTATTTATAATTTAAAATAGTTCAACAGTGTAGTATCTATGCTTTGAGGGTATATGAAATATATTAATGAAATCCCTCATGTGAGAAAAAAAATGAATATGAACAAAATCTATTTCGTTGTCGTCTTCCGGTTCATTTTAGCTAGAAATGTGTCTTCATGGTCAGGATGTATCACTACAAAACTAATGCTGTATTCCTAATATTTCATGAAGGATGTGCCCTAAAATGTTGGGCCGTTTTTGCTGTGAACCCTGCAACTCATTTACATCATGAACGTGTGCTTGTTTCGACATATCATTATACGGACATATTCCATAAGGAAGAAAAATCAATAGATCAAAGAGAGTACAGTGCATTCATGAAAACTTTGGAAGTGCAAATATCATGTGATCTATCAAGTCGAAGTGTCGCCTGCAGTGGAAGTGTCACCCCCAGTGGAAGTGTCTCCTCCAGTGGAAGTGTCTCCTCCAGTGGAAGTGTCACCTCCAGTTGAAGTGTCACCTCCAGTAGAAGTGTCTCCTCCAGTTGAAGTGTCTCCTCCAGTGGAAGTGTCACCTCCAGTAGAAGTGTCTCCTCCAGTTGAAGTGTCACCCCCAGTGGAAGTGTCACCTCCAGTTGAAGTGTCACCTCCAGTAGAAGTATCTCCTCCAGTGGAAGTGTCTCCTCCAGTGGAAGTGTCACCTCCAGTGGAAGTGTCACCTCCAGTTGAAGTGTCACCCCCAGTGGAAGTGTCACCTCCAGTTGAAGTGTCACCTCCAGTGGAAGTGTCACCTCCAGTTGAAGTGTCACCTCCAGTGGAAGTGTCACCTCCAGTTGAAGTGTCACCCCCAGTGGAAGTGTCACCTCCAGTTGAAGTGTCACCTCCAGTTGAAGTGTCACCTCCAGTTGAAGTGTCACCTCCAGTTGAAGTGTCACCTCCAGTTGAAGTGTCTCCTCCAGTTGAAGTGTCACCTCCAGTGGAAGTGTCTCCTCCAGTGGAAGTGTCACCTCCAGTTGAAGTGTCTCCTCCAGTTGAAGTGTCACCTCCAGTTGAAGTGTCTCCTCCAGTTGAAGTGTCACCTCCAGTTGAAGTGTCACCTCCAGTTGAAGTGTCACCTCCAGTGGAAGTGTCACCTCCAGTAGAAGTGTCACCTCCAGTTGAAGTGTCTCCTCCAGTTGAAGTGTCTCCTCCAGTTGAAGTGTCACCCCCAGTGGAAGTGTCACCTCCAGTTGAAGTGTCACCTCCAGTTGAAGTGTCTCCTCCAGTTGAAGTGTCTCCTCCAGTTGAAGTGTCTCCTCCAGTTGAAGTGTCACCTCCAGTGGAAGTGTCACCTCCAGTGGAAGTGTCACCTCCAGTTGAAGTGTCTCCTCCAGTGGAAGTGTCACCTCCAGTGGAAGTGTCACCTCCAGTGGAAGTGTCACCTCCAGTTGAAGTGTCACCCCCAGTGGAAGTGTCACCCCCAGTGGAAGTGTCACCCCCAGTGGAAGTGTCACCTCCAGTTGAAGTGTCACCTCCAGTGGAAGTGTCACCTCCAGTGGAAGTGTCACCTCCAGTGGAAGTGTCACCTCCAGTGGAAGTGTCTCCTCCAGTGGAAGTGTCGCCTGCAGTTGAAGTGTCTCCTCCAGTGGAAGTGTCTCCTCCAGTGGAAGTGTCTCCTCCAGTGGAAGTGTCGCCTGCAGTTGAAGTGTCTCCTCCAGTGGAAATGTCTCCTCCAGTGGAAGTGTCGCCTGCAGTTGAAGTGTCTCCTCCAGTGGAAGCGTCTCCTCCAGGTGAAGTGCCTCCAGTAGTAGAAATGACGCCTCCCGTGGAAGTGTCCCCTCCAGGTGAAGTGCCTCCAGAAGTAGCTGTGCCTCCAGTTGAAGTGTCTCCTCCAGTGGAAGTGTCGCCTGCAGTTGAAGTGTCTCCTCCAGTGGAAGCGTCTCCTCCAGGTGAAGTGCCTCCAGTAGTAGAAATGACGCCTCCCGTGGAAGTGTCCCCTCCAGGTGAAGTGCCTCCAGAAGTAGCTGTGCCTCCAGTTGATGGAGCTACAGCGGTAATGGAAAAAAAAACTTGAATTATCTCTCTCTATATGTCATCTATATTAAGGTTCTTCAACTGTTTTCATCCCGACCAAGTATGTCCATTCGACACACACACACACACACATATATAATACCGATATATATATAGTTAATACACACAAATATATATATAGCTCTATATATATAGATATAATCTATATATAATATTATATATATTGATATCTATATATTGATATATATATATAAGATATAAATATAATCTATATATATGTATATATATATATCTATGTTATATATATATAGATATATATATATATTATAATATATATAAGATATATAATATATATAGGATAATATCATATATGATGAAAGATATTATAATATATAGTATATATATATATATATAGATAAATATATGATTGTAGTATATAGTGGGATATAAACATTAAATATAGATAATTTATATATATATATATATATCTATATATAAATAAAAATATAATAATATATATATATTATATATAAATGAAATAAATATATAGTATATATTATATAGATATCTAAATAAATAACTAAATATATACACATAATATATATATAATGTATATATACATACAGACACACACACACATACATATACTTATATATACATATATATACAGAATTCTTGCTCAGGGTAGAAGACTAATCCTTAACTGAGTCCCTAGCCACATTGGCATCAGAGGGAATGAGCTTGCTGATAGACTAGCCGACATTGGCAGGGGTATATCCCCAAATCTCATGGTCATACAACCAACCAGCCAAACCAAGGTACTCAGACACCAGAGGCTATGAACCACTGGCACTCTCTGAAATAATCAACAGAGGTACCGAAGTCATTCTTCACAGAATTAGACTAGGTTACCACTGTGAGACAGTAGGCCGTGAAGAGAGGTGTTGCATGTTTTGCGGCGAGCCGAACGCCACCCTGGTATATTACTTACAGAATTGTGAGCGCACACAATTCCTAAGACAGGGACCACCCACAACAGCCGCCGTGCTGGTAAAGAAATGACGCGGTATGCTTACACCCTGGCGGCAGGACCGCCTGCTGGCAATCCCGCCGCCACGGTTGCATCGAGTATCAGAGAACAAAGTGAGACTGGCATAAGAAGCTGACACAGGCCGGGCCATATATTTTTTTTTTTTTTTTTTTTTTCCAGGATTCGACTTGGAAGGACTCTCCTCTCTTCTCTCCCTGCGGTGAATTAGCCTTTCCGGGCTAATTCAGAGTGAGGGGAGGATTGTTCTGGCCAGGAATACCGACGGGGTGCAGCGGGTGGCGCCTTGCCGTTCGGTAACGCGAAGATAGCCACCGTGATGCCGTAACGCGAAACGGTCGCACCATCATGCCGACACGCCAAGAAGGTCACCATGATGCCCGGAGTACCGCGGGTGGCAGCCACGCCATGCCGAAGGCTACAAAGGGGGTCACCGTGATGCCTGATTCACGGGAACTTTGCCGAGGGTGTTTTTAAAGAGATTGACTGGAGCCAGCCCTCGGCAATCATCACCTCGGCTCCTACGTGTTGCCGGACGCTTCGGCGCCCACCCCTCGTTGCTGCCGCGACGCTATTTGCCTGCTGTGGATTTAGCTTCGTGCCCTATAGCCTATACTTTCCTTTACGGATTTTTCGGCATTAGGATGACTCTCTGTGCACCTTCTGGTGAACTGGACCCCATCTTCGGGCGCGTGCTCGGACGTGGGCAGACCTTTACCTCCCGCAGGGGAGGGTGTGTCTGGGGGGCTTAGGTGCCTGCCTTACAGTGCACAGAGAGTTGCCAATCTTTTTGCTAGGGACTGGTCTGGCAGGCCATTTAATGACTGCCACTCTAGTTATTCGTTTAGGGCGATAGGCAGGTAGGAGCCCCCCCCCTTTGGTATTAGCTCTGTCGAAATAGCTGCTGCTAGACAGAACACTGCCTTATTTTGCCGCCACTGGAACCACCTTGAAAGTTAGCTTCTCTCCCTCAATGTGGTGAAGCAGCAGCCTTTGGGCGGCTGCTTCTGAGGGTTGTAGGAGCTTACTTGAAAAGGTGCAGCACTCCTCCTTTCTCACTGTGGTGAAACAGCCTTTGGGTGGCAGTTTCAGAGGAAGGAGGAATTCACTTTGAAAAAGGTTCAGGCCCTCTCCTCCCTCACTGGTGAAACAGCCTTTGTGTGGCTGTTTCAGAGGGATGAGAGGAACTAGCTGGAAAAAGTGAAAGAGCTCCATCCCTCACTGAGGAGAAGCAACCTTTGGGTGGCATCTTCTGAGGGATGAGCAAAGGGTTCCAAACAATGATGTTCAGTAGGTGGAAGAACATCCCCTCTGGTCTCTCCCCAGGGGTTAACACCTACACTGGCTCCTACAATGCTTTTTGTCCCGCCACTGGAACCACCTTGAAAGGTAGCTCCTCTCCCTCTGTGGGAAAACGAGCCTCCCTGATAAAAGGTGCAGGACTCCTCCTTTCTCGCTGGAAAGAGGAATTCACTTTGAAAAAGGTTCAGGCCCCCTCCTCCCTCACTGTGGCGAAAATTCCGAGGGAGGAGAGGAACTAACTGGAAAAAGTGAAAGAGCTCCATCCCTCCCTGAGGGAAGAGCACTAGGGTTCCAAACAATGATGTCCTGTAGGTTGAAGGGCATCCCCTCTGGTCTCTCCCCAGGGGTTTACACCTACTCACGCGTTTGCCGTGCGTGGCAGCCTTGTGCGCTGGGAGACGGGAGTCCTGGAGTCTGAGCGACGCCGTGAATGAGTACGCCCTGCGGCTAGCAACACGCCTCTTTGGTCCTCTACTCCAGCAAGACAGGCGACCTGATCCCGGCCCGGTCACGGTCAATCGGCTGGTCTCCCATGGGAGGCTAGGGCCAAGCAGTCATGCCTCCATTGGCACTCACAATGGTCCATGAGTGCCGCCACAATGGTTATTGGCTGCGTATATCCTCTCATCACCCCTGTGGCTGTCAGACACTGGCTCTGACACACAGCTTCCCCTTGTTGGACTCCGTGGTGGGTAGGGGCGTGAGAGGATGAAGCACTTACCATTATATGGAAAAATTAAATAACCCCCCCCCCCACAGACTGAGATAAACGTTGACGACCCATGCAAGGCCCAGACCACGGCAACCACCCTGGAACCATTCCTGGTTCCAGATGGTGGATTAGTCCATCAAATGGTGAAAAAGGTGGACTCTCGGGCTGAACCAGCCGAACCAGCAGCTGCTGCCCCCACGAACAAGCCCCCTAGCCGAAAGGGCGCACCGAAGCGACCAAGGCCGGAGACAGACTCTGATGGAGAGTCTGGACCCAGCAAAAGTCGCTTCACCCAGTTCAAGGTCCCAGCCAAACCCGAAGGCTTCGACAATGCCTACCAGTTGGTCAGAGCATTAGAGTTGCAGAGGCAGATCCGGCTCTCAATCGAGTTGCCAAAGAACAGGGCATGATCATAGTGCCGAAAGATCATGCCACCCAGAACTTCTTTCGGGAAATCAGGGAACTGAAAGATGGGAGAAAAGTGAGCCTTTCCCCATTAAAGCCCGAGGATAAGAGAACCAAGATGGTGCTACTTGGCTTCTCAGTCTCGTACGATGTGGAGCTAATCACTTCGCATCCTCAGGTGGTGGAGGCTTCCCGAATGGCAGTAGGGAAGACTCCAACCAGGCAAGTCCTGGTGACACTGAAAGGTGCCCCAACCACTACCCTTGATCTGGGTAACTGGGGCACCTACAAGCTGAGGACCTATGTGCCTGAACCACTTCGGTGTTTCAAGTGCCAGAAATACGGTCACCACCAGGCTAACTGCACAGCCAAGCCTAAATGTGGTGTCTGTAGTAAGGCACACAACACCGAGGTATGCCTCACGGCCCACAAAGAGAAAAAGGAGACAACAGCCAAATGTCCCAACTGCGCCAAGAGGCATCACGCCTGGAGCCTGACTTGCTCTGTCAGGAAAGAGGCGGCCCTCAAACGACAAGAGATTGCTGAAAGCGATCAGATTTCATTCCTGCCCCCCCAGGCACTCATGTGTGGGGCAGGAAGAAAAGTGAAAAGGCCTCCCGACCTCCTAAGAGGAAGGAGGCCGCCCCACAGCCGACACCGGACGTCTCCAACCCAACGGAGTTTCCGGACATGCCGAAACAGAAAAAGAACCAAAGGAAGAAAGGTTCTAAGAAGGCAGAAAAGCCCTCGTCAAGAGATGACGATCTCTTTGACGAGGCAGACATGACTCTGCTCGTGACTGCTGTGGTGACAGCAGTGGCGACAGCCCTAGGGAGGACAAGGGAAGAGGCGGAGAAGGCAGTGACGGTCGCCATGACGGCAATGACCAAGACTGTCGCGATCCTGAAAGGCAGAAAGCAGGCCCAAGCACAACCAGCGTCTGCCTCTGTTCAGGACGAGACTCCCCTCCCAGCTCCAACCCAGGCAAGCCCATCGCAGGCAGAGCCACAACAGGCCTAGTCTGCACAGCCAGAGCCAGAACGTGCTGAGCCTGCCCCGGCAAGGCCAGCCAAAAGAAGTGCAGACAGGCCTGCGAGAAAAGCCAAAGCCTCCAAAGTCAAAGCTACCAAAGGCTCTCCACCCCCCAGTGGACCCACAGTTAACCTGACTTCAGACGAAGAACTCTCAGCCGAAGAGGACTTCGTGATGTTGGGGTCGGTTTGTGACGGGGTCTCAGATGTAACTATCGACTAGTAACATCATTGCACACAATCTAAGCATCCTACAGTGGAACATAAATGGCTTTTCCGGAAGGAATGCCATGCTCCAAGCAGTAGTGCGATCAAGGAGCATCGACGTTGTCATGCTCCAGGAGACACGAACGGCGGACACTGTTCGCTTCGCAGGGTATCACGCGTTCACGATGCCACAAACGCCTGGCAAAAGAGGCCTGATCACCCTTGTCAAAGCAACAATCCCCTGCTCCGCAATAGCCGATGCACCGCACTGTGGAGAAGAGACAGAATCTCTCGCCGTAGAGATCCACCTGGCCGGGGGCCCCCTCAAACTGTACAACGTGTACAACCGGCCAGGCTGTAGTAGCTTAGATATTAGCCAGGTCTGTGCGTCTGCTGCACAAGACCGAGTGATCATTGGGGGAGATCATCATCATCCCATCCTAGCTCCCTGCCGGGGACCGGGTGCGGCTGGCCTCCACATAACCAGCGTGCTGGAGATGTTCCCCGAGATCGCTCTCCTCAACACCAGAGAGCCAACGCATGTCGGCGGTGGGGTACTAGACCTCACCCTGGTCACTGCGACTCTGGTGGACAGGATTAGCTGGTGTGTTGATGAGACTGTCACAAGCGACCACTTTGGGACGGTAACCACCCTCATGGACGCAGGCCCAACCGAAATCCCACGACCGAATCCAAGATGGAAAACAGACAAGGCCAACTGGCAGGCGTTTCAGAACGCCTTGGCTCACTGTCTGAGAGGCAACGAATCCACACAAGCCGAAAACGTGGATGTGCTGGAAGCCAGACTGGTACAAGCCATAAACCAAGCAGCCTCACTGACCACACCCAGAACTCGGCCCGGGTCCAGGCGTCCTTGTTTAACGACGAGATCAGGGAGGTCAACCACAGGGTGAACATGTGCCGAAAACTGTTCCGAAGGCAAAGAACCCCCGACAACCTCGCACTGCTGAGGGAGGCTGTCAGGGATGCCAAGGAAACTGCCAGCAGAGTCAGGCAGGAGACATGGTTGGAATGGTGTGAGTCCTTCAGCCACCAAACCACCGTCTCAGAGCTGTGGCAACGGGTCAGGCGAGCTACCAGCCGCTCAGCCCCGAGACGAACGCACTACGACCCCCAAGCAGAGGCAAACAGACTGGCGCACCAGTTCTCTGAGAGAACAAGCAGCAACAGTCTACCAGCTGAGCTGAGGGCCAAACAAGAAAGCCTGAAAGCAGACAGACTTGCTCAGATCAGAGAAAGGGCAGCCGAAGCCGATAACTCAGACGCTATCTTTTCTCTGAGGGAACTCCGAAAAGCATATAAACTCAGTTCAAATACAGCCTAGGGCTCTGATGGGATCACGTATCCCATTATCTCCCGCCTAGGACGTGAAGGTGAACTTGCACTCTTGCAGCTCATCAACAAGTCCTGGGAATCTTCCTCTGTACCGCAGAGCTGGAAGAGGGCTACCATAGTTCCCATCCCAAAAGCCAAGGAACCGGGGAATTACCGCCCCATCTCCCTCCTCAGCTGTCTGGCCAAGACGGCCGAGAGGATGGTACTGAACCGGCTCCTGTGGAAAATGGGACCCCCGCACGAACACCTGCACGGGTTCACCAGGGGTATGAGCACTGCACACAGCATAGCCACGCTCTTGAGCACAGTCAGCACAACCTCAGCCGCGGCAGTATTCCTGGACCTGGAAAAGGGCCTTTGAACTAGCAAGCCCTCTTGCTATTCAGGAGGCCCTGGCCCAGAAGGGAATCAGAGGAAAGCTCCTGGCTTGGATAGGTGACTACTTTAGGAACAGAACTGCCAGAGTGAAGTTCCAGGGTCACCTATCGCAGCACTTGCCACTGGAAAATGGGACGCCGCAGGGTGGGGTTCTCAGTCCAACCCTATTTAACGTACTCATGTCCTGTATCCTCAACATGAACCTCCCGTCAGGATGCAAGATCGTCTCGTATGCGGACGATCTCGCCATCACCGCCATTGGGACACAATGTCTAAGTAAAGCCCAGCGTTGTCTGGACCTTGTGTCCGAGGAGTGTTGCAGGACGGGACTTAAGATCTCAGCAGCCAAATCTAAGGCCATGGCTCTGGGAAAACGAGTTCAAGGCACAAGTCTGAGGATCCAGGGAGTAGACTTGGAATGAGTCCCGGTGTTCCAATACCTTGGGGTATGGATAGACCGGACCCTCTCCTTCCGGCAGGAGACCAAGTACCTGGTCGACCGATGCAAAGCAAGACTGAACGTCATGAGAGTAATGACTGGGAGACGCATAGGAGCCAGACACAAAGTACTAAGAGCCTTCTACGTACATGCTGTCACGCCTATTGTGGATTACGCCTCAGTCGCCCTAATTGGCAGAAAGAAAAAATACAGAGAAAAATTGGAAACAGTCCAAAACGAAGCTGCCAGAATCATTCTGAGTGCCCCGAGGTGGTCAAAGGTTCCCAACCTCCTGATGGAGACCAACCTTTTCCCCCTGGACTCACGAATCGATCAAATGGCAGCCAACTTCTTTGCAAAGGTCCTCTAGGCTCCCAGGAACACGAGCCTAAGAGAAAAATTAGCCAGACGCCTGGAACAAGACAACGAGCTCTTTGCCAACAACACGTGGCTGTCCCACACAGCCAGGGTGTTGATAAGCTTTGAGCTCAAAGAGCAGCTCCTGACCAAGGGCATGGACTCCCCCCACCCTGACTTTGTCGAAGCCCCGCCGTGGGCACAAAATTCGATAGAGTTCTCGGTCATGAGATTAGCGCTCAAAAAGACCGAATATCCCACGCCTGGTCTAAAGGCAGAGACCTACAGGGTCATATCAGCCATCACCCCCCTGGGTAGTAGAACTTACTACACGGACGGATCGGTCGATCCAGCCAACCACACTGCAGGCACCGGCTTTGCAGCAAGGGATGCCATGCGCTCCATGAGGGTATCAGACAACGCCCTCCTCGCTACAGGCAGAGGCCGTTGCGATCATGGAAGCCCTAGCCCACGCGTCCCCTTTGGGAGGACACGTAGTCATTCACACTGACTCTAGGGCAGCCATTGACTCTCTCAAGCTCAGCTCACCCAAAGACAATATCTACCTCCTGACCACAATATTAACAATAGCCCAAAGAATACTGGCTCAGGGTAGAAGAATCATCCTTAATTGGGTCCCTAGCCACATTGGCATCAGAGGGAACGAACTTGCTGACAGACTAGCAGTCTCTGGCAGGGGTATGCCCCCTAGTCCCATGATCATTGCACCTAGCCGTAATTTACTTCGGATGAAGAGTACTGGTGTCGCCAACTCCTTCCTCCTGCAGCTTCACAGAGAGGCAACGAGATCCTCCCCCTCGGCCAGATGGTATTCAGAAGCAACGGGCTATGAACCACTGGCACTCTCTGAGCTAAAAGACAGACAAACCGAAGTCATTCTCCACAGAATGCGCCTAGATTATCACTGTAAATGGCAGATAATTGAGACCATTGTCCATGAAGAGAGGTGTTGCATGCATTGCGGCGAGCCGAACGCCACACTTATACATTACTTAGAGAATTGTGTACACACACAATTCCCGAGACAGGGACCCCCGACAACAGCCGCCGTGCTGGTAAGAGACTTTGCGATTCACTTACCCCGTGGCAGCAGGAGCGCCTGCTGGCAATCCCACCGCCACGGTAAGCACCGAGAGCCATAGATCGAAATGAGTCAGCCCTAATAAGCTGACACAGGCCGGGCCATAGCCGAAGGCCCGGGCGAAGCTAGAACTTCGCAAATCACAATCGATCGATCGAAGCTAGAACTTCACAAATCTCAAAGTAAGTAAGCGACAAGTCCGTGCACGGTAACGCCACCGATGGCGCCTGGCAGGTTGCCTTATCCATACTCAACCTCCCTCGTTAGCCGAGTGTGCCCCACAGCCCGGGATGACGGCGCGCTGGCTGAGGAGCTGGCTCGCCAGCTCGCTCACGCCAATTGCGCACCATCATGCCAGGGTTGCGCAAACCACAGATGGCGCGGGGCCACCCTTTCCAGCCTTTATCCTCCTCTCCGCCTCCCAGTCAGCTATGCCCCAGCTTTTACCTCGCATGTTGTGATAAACTCCGACACTTTTCTCTCTTACCAAATCATTTTTTTCGATCCCCCCTTTATCCTTCCCCTCTCCCGCCTTCTCTCCCCCTGGCAGTTTATTCTAACTTTACGTTACGAAGCGAGATCAGCATTCCCCGATCCTCCAGCAGAGCAAGACTACAGCAGCAGCACTCTGCTGGGGAGCCTGCCGGTTCCCCTGTAGATCTCCAACTTCAGCCTCCAACACCCAACCATACCTGTAGGCACTCATACCCACACAGTCACTTCCCAAAGAGATAAGACACCAGACCAAAATAGTAGATGCAACAACAGTAAGATCTACTATACTAGATGGTGTTGTTGCATCTACTATATAGACTGGTGTCTTATCTCTTTGGGGAGTGACTGTATGTGTGCCCACAGTTATGGCTGGGTGTTGGAGGCTGAAGTTGGTCTTGCTCTGGTGGAGGAACCGGCTTCTGCGTGCTTACACAACGCCCGTACACTTAATCCGCAGAAGCCGGAAACGAGATCAGCAATCCCCGATCCTCCACCAGAGCAAGACCACCAACTTCAGCCTCCAATACCCAGCCATACTTGTGAGCACTCACACACAGTCACTCCACAAAGAGATAAGACACCAGACTATAGAGAAGATGCAACAACACCATCTACTATAATGGTGGACTTTTACCTATTTTTTATATAATTATCTTCTGTTAGAGATGATTTTTTAGATACTGCAATCACATAATTACCTGTTGTCACAAAAGTAATATTGGCTTCTGTGAATTGGATGGTCGATCCTCCCACTTGCGATATTTGTTGTTGAATTTCATCAACCTTCTTTTTTATCTCTTTGTCCTTTTGCGCTATCTCGGCTTTCGTCGTTTGGGACTTCTCGAGAGCTTTCCCAACGCTCCCTTTTATTTCCGCAGCGAGCGTATCGTTATTCTTTACGTCGGTGGAGAGTTTCGTCAACTGTACCCTCAGCTCTTTAAGTCTTTGCAGGAGTTCTTTCAGAGCTGTGGTGTTGCTTACCTGGACGGCTGCATCAACCAAATCAAAAACTAAAAGCAACTCGTCGATGACACCCACTTGGCGCCGCCGTCTTCTGAGGCCGATCGAGTTTTGCATTTCCTGTAAAATGGCCGTTGCCTGATCAAGCTCATCTGCAACAGCAACAAGTTCACTCTGGAATTCAGATAACTGTTTGACTTCTTCGGTCAGAGCATTGACATTGACAGTGGTGGTTCCTCCAGCAGTGGTGGTTCCTCCAGCAGTGGTGGTTCCTCCAGGAGTGGTGGTTCCTCCAGGAGTGGTGGTTCCTCCAGGAGTGGTGGTTCCTCCAGGAGTGGTGGTTCCTCCAGCAATGGTGGTTCCTCCAGGAGTGGTGGTTCCTCCAGCAGTGGTGGTTCCTCCAGGAGTGGTGGTTCCTCCAGCAGTGGTGGTTCCTCCAGGAGTGGTGGTTCCTCCAGGAGTGGTGGTTCCTCCAGCAGTGGTGGTTCCTCCAGCAGT